CTCCTCCTCCTCCTCCTCCTCCTCCTCCTCTCCGGCGTCCGGCCTCTTTCCTCATCGCCCTGTGTGCCTCCATGTATCCCTTGTCCTTGTCCAGTCTTTGGGCCACTTAAAAAAGGGTTAGATTTTTTGCCATTGTCAGCAACTCTCCCCCGTCGCGCCATCAGACGCGTCGGTATTGCAAGGCGGGCGGGCCAGGCGCTCCACCTGAGACTGAGACTCTCTGACCGCGTACGTTCCTGAAGCATGGGGTTCGGTCACGCATGTCCCCCTACGGGCCGATTTTGGAATTAAAAATAAAAACAACTCAAAGCATAATCCCAAATGGTCAACAAAATACACACATAAATCGTCACCATATTATTTGTCGAATATTTGTTGGATATTTCTCCTGAAGAGTGACACGCCCAACTGAAGCCTGGGGCTATGAGGTCTCCAACATGTGCACGGATGGCGAGAGGCAGTAACCGTCTCGAAAGAGGGCGGCACAGCCCGGGCACATTGGTCCTGAAGGCCTGCAGCAGCCCCAGACACCCGACGTCATGATTTGTTCACAACGTCGACACCCAAAAGACTAGACCCCTTCCCTGGGGCCGGTGTTTCAGCATGAGCTTTTTGTTGACGCTCCGGAAGCCCGGAACGCTGCATGCCAGCCAACACGTGCCGCCCAGCCTTCCGCGCGGCGCAGCCCGTCACCGTCAATCCGCAGCTCCTGAGCCGCCACCGCCTGAACATCATCAGGACAGCGTTTCAAACATTCACGGCACGATGACCGGGAGGAACCGTTGTACGTCACGAAGCCCGCGTGCTTGCTCGGCCACGCCTGCCACGGGCGTTAGTTATCCATGCCTGCGTCCTCCCAGGACGCCGCGGCGGTTCCCCCGCCAGCGCGAAAGGCGGCGGCCGCGGCTGAGGTGGCAGCAGCAGAGTCAGCAGGGGGCGCCCCCGTGACGCCAGCGGCGGGAGCGCTAGTGCAAACCGCTGCAGCCCCAGGCGCAGGCGACGTCCCGACCGTGGCACCAGCGGCGGGAGGGGAGGCTTGGGCGGGCGCAGCCAGTGCGGTGGCCAGGGGGAAGGCCGCTCCCAAGGCCTGAACCTGACTGCTGATGGTCTCCAGCACTGAGATGCCGTGCCCAGCCTGCACACGCGCGGGGGGCCGCCGTGAGCGTCGCCTGCAAGCCGGCAAGCGTAGACGCCAAGGCCGCCAGATCCAGTCCACTGGGGCCAGCAGCGGCGGCAGCGACCGCGCGCTGAGCAGCCGCAGCTTCAGCTTCCAGCGCGGACACATCGGAGATGGCGGCGACGTGCTGCGGGCGCAGGCGCTCTGCCTCGTCCTTGGCGGCAGCGAAGGCCTCAGCACACTGGGCTCTGTGCTCTCGGGCGTGGGCGCTGCGCAGCAGCTGCTCGGGCGGATTCCTCGGCCTCCACGACGACCAGGTCCTGCCTGGCGGCCACGATGAGGGGGTGCCCAGCGTCGTAACCGAGCCGCTGTAATGCCTCGAGCCCCTGACGCGCGCGAGCCACGGCAGGGCTGGCGGCTCCAGCGAGAGCAGCGTCAGCGGCAGGAGGACAACGATCAGCAGGAGCCCCCGAGCGGCGGCGGCGGCCAGCCGATGCGGAGCGCGCGCCCGCAGGGGGGGGGGGGGGGGGCTGCCTCCCGAGGCAAGCGGCAAAGGCGGTCCCGTCCGCACTTCCAGCACGTTTCTCGCGATGCGAAGTTCGTGCGGAAGCCGCAGAGCCTGGTAGCAGCACATGGCCAGGTCGCCACCTGTCCAGCTCCAGCAGGGGCAGCCTGGCGCGACGGCGGCGCCGCCATGGCACCTGCGACGCCCAGCGGCCGATCTCCGTGATGACCAGCGAGGCGATCGCGCGCCACAGCAACGCGGAGCGTGGCCCTCGCCTGCGCACGAAGGCGTCGTGCGCGGCGATGCCACGCAGGGGAGCGGGAGCGCTCAGCACAGCCGACAGCGAGCGCCCGCCGAAGTCGGGCCGCTTGCGAGGGGGCGATGGCTCGCAGGCGCGGCGCCCGCCCGCAGGCAAAATGGCTGCGGGGGGCGGGGGCCACAGATGCCAAGCCACCTAGGAGGAGGAGGAGGAGGAGGAGAAGGAGGAGGAGGAGGAGGAGGAGCAGGAGGAGCAGGAGGAGCAGGAGGAGGAGGAGGAGCTGTGTCATCCTGATGCCTTCCGCCTCCAGATCGCCTCGGGAGAGCTGCAGAGAGCGAAGTCCGCCCAGCGTCGGACAGGCCAGGAGTGCCCCAAGATACCCCAAGCAGCGCCCAAGAGTGTCCAAGGGCCCCCCAAGAGGCACCGAAGAGGCCGCCAAGAGGTCCCACGAGGCCGCCACGAGGGCCCCCAAGAGGGGCCCAAGAGGCTCCAGTGCGCGCCAACGTGCCACTTCCTGCTCGTCGTCCTCTCTGCAAGAACGGTGCTAGTTGAAGGCAGATATGTCTTCAAAAGACCATGCAAGAACGGTTTTTGTCTGACTACCTACCAGACCACCCCAACCCAACCCGAAGACCCGAATTTCGGGTTGGGGGGGGTAAGGGTTCCACACGTGTTTTTTCGATGTTTCCCGAACCCCCCCCCCCACTGGAAATCGAGTGTAATTCTGAGCCTTCGGGTTGGGTTGGGGTGGTTTGGTGGGTGGTGATTGTCGAAGGCAGATCTGCCTTCGAAAGAGCGGCCTCTGTCGAGGGCAGATCCGCCTTCAACGGACACCGCTCCCCCGCGCTCCCCCGCGGTCGCGGGGCCCGCCGTGGCCTCCGCTCGGCGAGCTCCGCACGGCGGGCCCCCCGCGGGCCACGTGCCGTCCCCGGATCTCTGGAGGATGACTGCGTCCACTGCTTGCTGGCTGAGTATTTCCCTACAGTCGGGGCGTTGACCGAAGGAACCCTAAATACGGCAGGTTCGTGTCGTACCGACTTTGGAGTTGGTTTCTGACACCGCGAAGATCGTTCAACCTTGAACGATCGGCCGTTTCCGCAACGTCCAATCGCTCCACATCGAACGATTCTGGGTCCCCCGCGGCGTTCAACGTTCAACGCCGCTGGCGGGGTCGCCGCCGGTCGACACGACGCGAACCTATCGTAAGGAACGAAGCCCCTTTTTTTCCATAAGTGAAACTTCGACTTCCTCTCGGAAACCTGAGGGGAACCTGAGGCAAGCTGTGAAAGACTCAAGGAACGCGGAGCCCCACCCCAACGAAAAGGGTTCCTTCGTCAGGGCCCCGACTGTACTCTTGAGCGGGGGATGGACTCATCCATCCCCATCAGCTCGGCGCGACAAAGGCCACAAAGACGGCCCGCAGGTCTAAAGATGACCCCATGTGGCACAAGAAGGCTCGCAGATGGCCCCAGATGCTCCAAGATGGTGTGTCTGGTAGTGCGCTCGTCTTCTGTAGTTGGAACATGGATTTGATGAATGTTACTGGCGTGTTGTACTATTGCCTGTTCTGGACGTGTGCTGATGGTGTATGCGCTCGCAGTATGGCGCATACAGTGGTGAATGGCGTCGGTGAACTTACGTGTGCGCATGGCGCTTGCGAGGGATGTGCGGTGCTGACGCGTATCAATGGTCTGGTCTGGATGCACTTGATTTGTTATCGATACCCGCCCTGACTCCGTATCCGCCTTCCTAACTTAAAAATGCGTCGGAAATCCACCTCTAAGAGGCCGCAGAAAAGGGGCGGAAATTGCTGCACCCAACAGAAAGTGGAACGGGAATCCACAGAAGTAGGGCGGAAACAGCAGCAGAAAAGTAGGGCGGAAATTCAAAGCCCTACTCACGAATTTCCCCAGAGTAGGGCGGATCTGGAGTCAGGGCGCTCTTGGTATACTACTAGGGTCTGGTCGCGATGCACGTCATAGCTGCATGGCATGTGTGTCGGTCATGATGCCCATGATTGATGTCTGCAGGCTTGCTGCTACTGATGTAGAGCATGGGTGCACGTTTTCGGTGCGACTCGCTCACGTGAGTGCCGGTTGAATTCTCCAGGTGCAGGTAGGCTGTGTGTGCTGCTGATGCCTGCCGCGGGTGCATGGTCATGGCAGTTGTTGACGTGTGGCATGGGTATGATACAGTCGGCCTTGATTGGGCAGGACACGCGAGAGGACACAAGACCCTTCCGAGGGCCACATCGCCATAGGAGTGTAAGAAGGCACGTGTCGCGAGGCACAGGACACAAGGGTACCCTTGAGCTGGCAAGGTCGACCTACTCATCCGGGCCGACTGTACATCTCACGGCGAGTGAGCTTGGCGTGCGCCCTTGAGGTGTGTGCTTGATATCAGCGCTTCGGGCTGGTGACTGATGTCTGCCCTTGGCGTGAATGATCTCGGCGCCTGTCCGCGATGCCTGCTGCTAGCAATGCACTGGCGCATGCCTGCAGTGTGTGTGTGTGTGTGTGTGAGTGTGTGTTGATGCTTGGGGGTTATAGATTTCTGCTCCAGATGTATGCAGACGGCGTGACGGCGTGGCGCCTGGACGGCGCGACGCCTCCTCGGTGGGGCTCGGACACGCGGGATACTCAAGGCCACTCCTGGGTTGTGTTGAGCCCGTCGGCCGCGATGTGCAGGGCTGGCGAGGTGGAGCACACAAGGATCACCTAGGGTTGCCGAGGCCTGGCGACCGCGGTACGCAGAGCTGGCGGGCAGTATCCCACCACCCTTCTGGGCGCAGGTGGTCTGGGGAGCTTCCTCTTCCAACCCCCTTCTTCCCCTTCGGGGAGAGGTCTACCCCTTCCCCTATCCCCAGGACCTGGACGGGAGCATCGTTTCTGCATGGGCATCGTTTCTGCATGGGCTGGTGGGGATACGCGAAACGTCAACCATCTCTTCATGTCTAACAGCCCCAACTTGTCGAAAGGGGAAGCAAATGCCAACGCCCCAAATTCAAACCATATCAAACCAAACGCAAAACCCCCAACAGATAACGTGAGCCAAACGAAGCAACGAAGCGAACTCTAAGCGAACACACAAAGTGCTGCTGTGCACGACGTGGCTGCTGCATTGTCACTCGCACTTACCTGACGTTTGAGCTGTTCAAGGCGACCACTGGCGTCAAGGACACGGACCAGGTCAGGATCAGGGGCGCAACTGCCAGAAGGGGGCTGGTTTTCAAGCGAAGCCAGACACAACTTTGCATCATGGCACGCAGCCGCTGACGCGGTGGAAAATATGAGACTCATGACTCAGGAGGAGGAGGAGGAGGAGGAGGAGGAGGAATCTATCGTCCAACCACTGCGGGCTCACAGCCTGGGGTTCGCGTCAGCCCGTCCGTTCACCAGGGGGACCAAATCATGCTCGCCCTCCGTCACGACGCGGTGCAGCACGCGCAGCCCGTTCTCAGAGGCAGCCAGCTGGGATTCGGCGGACGCCAAATGAGCCACAGCCAGGTTGTCAGAAATGATGAGGTCACCGCTTTGCCAGTTGTGTGAATAGAGCGACTCAGGTGGCAACGCAACTACCTCCTCCTGAATCCGTTCCATTAATCTAAACGTCTCTTCCGTCTCTGTCGCGCGCTCCCTGTTGGTGCCTTTGTGCCACACGAAGCATCGAACCTTACCTGTGTGCAAGCAAACGGACGGCTTTTGTGTGGAGGGATGTGCAAAGAGAAAGGGATGACAGACCGGCTCAGCGTCAGCCTGGCTACCAACCACCTCAAGCCATAACTTGTCCCACTCTTCGGACTGATGCCTTAGGAAAGCGTTCGCCAGGTCTTCTAATCGCAAGAACTTCGTCGAGCCTTCCTGCGGCACGTGAACTATATGATACAGGGCGAATCGAAACGGCGTCGGGTATGTAACACCATCAATGTGCCAACCAGCCGTCCCTACTCCGACTTTGCCTTCTTCGGGATCGTTCGACACTCGTAGTATCTGCTTCGCAGGGGAACGAACGTGCTGGTATCGCAAAGGCAAATCGAAAGGCTTCCCAAACCAGCGAGACAGGGCCACTTGATTGCAGCCTTCTAGCTCTTTCGCCTGCCCTCTCAGCAAAACCAAGCCAGACTCTGCCATCTTTGCCCGAATATCGTTGGCAAGCGCCGCTCCGTTTTGAAATTGCAAGGCGCGGTTCAAGTCGAGGCCCGTTACTTCCACGCCGATGCGGCAGCCAAGTGGAGCGGCCTGCATCATACCAACAAGTGCTGCTGGTACGATCTCGCTGAAGCAACCTCTAGAAAAAGCGATGCGGATCTGCAACACGCAGACTGTGGCGAAGCGTAGAACTCAGAGACCCCACGGAACTGCAGCCGCGTCAGCACATCGCACAGCTTTGAGCACGGACCGACCGTCCCAGCATTTCTATAGGCCTACCACGAAATTTTCTGAGAGTCCAAACATGTTCTCATAGCAAAGACAATGTTCTTATACCATAATCCCAGTGTGCTAAAACAAAAAAGGCTCGGTCAGAAATGTTCTAAGAACATTTCGTGGAAACCACAAAAGGTTCTTAGAACATTGTTCGGTAGGCGTATTGGCGAGCCAGGACGCTTCGCCACTGCTTGACAGCTGTCACCCGTCTTGAGCCGGCACTGCTACGGACCAGCGAGCCTTAGGCTGCTGCCCTCAGTTGGGCTTTGCCTGAGAAGTCCAGGCTTCATGTGTGCAAGAAGGCTGGCGGCAACACTGCCTCCAACTTGGGTTCCTTGGAGACCTTGTTCTCTAAGGAGCCCAGGCGCCTGACTCAAGCTTGCCTTTGCTGTTGCTCATATTGCTGACGAACCCCCTTCGCTTGCTAGTAGCATGGCTTTCATATCGCTCTTAAGCTGTGTCTCCATTGCCTGCCGCTTGCCTTCAGCTGAGCCTTAGCCTGCTTCCAGCTTGCGCGTTGCTGTCAGCATTCCCTGCCACGCTCAGCTTGCCTGTCGCTCGTCAAACTCATCTCGCCCTCAGCGTGGTATGATTGCTATTAGTTCTCCGCGACGGCGGGGGTGTATCTCCTCGCCCTGAACGGTGAGCACACCCAGCGTGAAACAGCGGCGCGCCAGAGGACAGGCCGGAAGAGCGGCGGGAGCCAACCTGCTGCAGACGGTTGCTTCAATCGTGGCCCCGCTCGCGGTGCCGAAGACGTCGACGGGAGGAGTAGGATACATACCGTAGACACGTGCGACAAAACATCTTGCTATAACATATCACACCCTCGCAGCAAAAGACCCCAAGCGGCATAGTAAAGTAGTGATATATTACTGCATGTGCGAATGCAACTTCTGAGATTAAGACTACGAGCGATACTACCAACAATCTTTGCACCACCACGCACACCAACTAAATGAAGAGGAACATCGATGATTCTACTACTACCACTGACAGTGATACTAATACAACGACGACGACGACGACGACGACGACGACGACGACGACGACGACGACGACTACTACTACTACTACTAATAATACGATGACGACCACAACTACGACCAATACTACTACTACTACTACTACTACTACTACTGCTACTACTACTACTACTACTACTACTACTACTACTACTACTACAATTACTACT